TTTTTTCTTTTGTATGCATCAGGAACGGAATGAAATTTCAAATTTTCTGTTATTCCAAAAGAACTAAAATTAGTATCTTAGGGATTTATTTCTGAACAGATAAGATAGTCCTTTATATAAGTTATATGAATATTGATACTTGTTGTCTAAAATATCTTCTTTATAAAATTTAAAAATGTCCACAATGGAATTCATTTCTAAAAAAAAAAAAAAAAATAATATAATATATACAAATATAAATATGTATAAATATGCATATAACTATATTTATGTTTGTTAAAATTGAAGTACGCGGAAGTGTGCGGGAAGGGAGTTAAAAGAACTTTCAGTATTACCATAGAGTAAGTGGTGCAATGGGTCATATAATTCATTTATTTTGATGAAGTTTAAAAAGTCAAATAAAACATAAGATAAGGAAACTATGATGGATGATAACTTTCTAATAACCGACACCATAACATTTTTGCAGATAATGCTTATTGCAATGGACCATAGGGCAACTCCTTTGAGATATATACATGTTAATACTATGGTATCTTTTAATTTATTTATTCTATTATTTTCTAATACACTCTTTAATTCTGCCTTTTCTTCAACCGAATAAACAGTTTGATCGTGATTTAAAATATTTATATATTTTTTCAGTTGACCAATTAAATCTTCAACACATAATATACATGAATCTATATAAGCATTCCAAAATTTATTATCTTCAAATAATATTGTATTTATGGGGTTACACAAATGCCTTAATATGCTTATCTCATCTTTATATTTTAAGCTTGCATTAATTAATATTAGTTTTTTAAATAACAGTAGTTTCAATTTTGTCTTTTTGTCCATATTTGTTATCTCAATATTATTCCCTTTTATTCGGTAGCTTATATCTTTCAAATAGTTGTATATGCACGTAACGACGAAGAATTCATCATGATAAGAACACTGGTTATGCATTGGGAATTTATTTAATGAGGTAAGAATTTTACAATCATATTTATTAAATATGAAATTGAAAATTATAAAATGATATTCCAATATTGCTGTTATCCATATTGATGAAAGTATTGATACGCAATAGGAAAAATTAGTAAGAACATAGATGTTCGATAAGTTATATATTTTTGGCAAATTCAATATCACATCAAATGGGTGGGTCAATATGCTCACAATAATATTAAAACTTATGCTATTAATTATTGTTAATAATATATCGACAATAAAGCTTAATACATAAGAGAAAATAAGTGGCATTATATTTAAAATTATTCCCTACAAAATAAAAAATAAACAAAATGGAATATATGTTTTTGCGCTTACAGAAGCATTATTAGCGTATTGTGCAATGTAAGATTTACTAATTTTTCAAAATTTGGGAGGGGTTGAGAAAAAAAAAGATGGTAAAATAAATTAAATGTTTACCTTCTGGATTAGCTCAATTATGTTTTTTGTTTCTGTATTCATACATTGTTGGAAATTGTGAATGCTCAATTTTCTCGTATTGAATCTTTTCTGTAATGTATACCTAAAATGGTTACGGCAGGGAGGCATGCATACGTATAGACAAGCACAAAACATGCGTGAATTTTTGTATACATACATAAACTTAATTAAATTGTTTTGTTGTGCAATTATATGATAAATCACTGAACAAATTCTTTCGATTTATTTTTAACTAAGGCGACGTTCATTCTGTATCACGTCCATTTCTAATAGGAGAAATCTTTTAATAAGGGCACATGTGCATTTTAGTAGATGCAAACGTTTTTTTTTTTTTTTTTTTTTTTATCCTCTATATATGTATTCTTTCAAGAATGGTCCTTTTAAAATAAGCATAAAAAAAATAAATAAGGGTTATTATTCACTTACGATATAGATGCCACGTATAGAATGTCGTAGATGTTGTTTCCATAATCCTTTGAAAAAACCGTCTTCGTGTAGAATATGCTATAAAAGGTCAATATGACGCATAATACATTTAGTAAATTCCATTCTTTGTATTTGTAATCTGTATATTAGGGAAATGAAGAAACAATTTATGTCATGATTACATATAAACTTAAGTATACACACAAACACATAGTGACATATTATGAAACAATAATCTCCACTGATAGGAAGTTTCAAAAGTGTAATTACTATTTAAGCTATGTTCCTTAAAAAATATTAATAATGATAGGGTTAAACATGATGGTACGGAGCTAACAAATGTTCCTCTTAATAAATGCGCTACAATATTTAATTGGTCTTTAAAAAAAAAAAAAATAAATAAATATGGAATATTAAAGTGGTGTAAAATACATTAATTTGTGTCTAATTCAAATTACAGTCTTTAAAAGACAACCGTAAATGCGTCTAACATTAGGATGGTGATGTTATTTTATATATGCATGCATATATATATGTTCATATGTGCATATGTACTTATTTTCTTTCTTTGTTGCACTTACGATTACTGTCTGTAATTATAATATAGTTGTAACATAGTGATATAATCAAATTTAAAATACTTATTAATATTAAATGCTTGGTTAAAACTTTTGTTATTGACTTTATAATAAATTTTATTTTAAAGTTTATTCTAGCATTGTAATCACTATTTAATCCCAAGAAAATCATTATGTTGAAAAAAAAAAAAAAAAATTCTCAAAAAGAAAGTGAGGTCTTTTACTATCTCCGATCGTATGGGAATTTGTAAAAAAAGAAAAAAAAAAAAAAAAAACCTTGTATGTTCTATATTTTTACATATTTCATCTATCATTAAAGTACTTTTTAAAAATATTGTTCAAACTAAAATACTACATTTCATCACATTTATATTTTCCTCTCTTTTTATTATTCTTATAAAAATGCTTCTATTTTGCTCGAGAATGTAATAAAAATGATATAGTACAAATAAAAGGCTCATGTGCTTATTTCTTTTTATATTTATTTTATTTTTTTGCTAAAGAAATTGAAAACATTAATTCTTTAAAAAAAAGCATATAACATTATATACACTTTTTAATATAAACAAAAAAAGTAGTGTGCTATATAAATGGTTGACATGTGGAAAAAAAACGTTTTAAAAGGTAAAAACACATATATGAGAGAAAAAAAAAATATATGTAAATATAATGAGCAATACAAAAAAAATGTCATATTTTTCAAAGCAAAGGAAAGCGATAATTTTTATTATGCTTTTTAAACAAGCACAAGAAATTATATATATATATGTTGTAAATATATGTCGCTTAAGAAAAAGAAAGTTTCCTTTTAGCATAAAAATGAAGTAATGAGCTTATATTACAATTCTTTTTTCGTGTATAACTCCTCGAAAAGTTTTAAATTAAGGAAATCCAACAATTATATACTTGTAAGAAGAAAAACTTATGTGTTATATATATAGGAAAAAAAAAAAAAAATAAAATAAAAAAAAATGGGTGAAGCTTTGAACATGTACAATTTTTTTTTGGGTAAACCATGGAGATTGATAGTTTGAATTTCAAAAATGCTAACTTGTCGTTCTTAAGTTGGAACATTTGCTTCTTTTTTTTTTTTAAAGCATGTAAAAATATAAAAAATTTTATAATCAATATTTTTTGTGCTGAATATTTTTATTATGCTCCTTTTTGATTCATAAATACGGTCTCATGAACAGAGCGTATATATTTACAATAATGTATGTCCATCTTTTTTCGGATTGCAATGGTAACATCATCACCCACCACACATGATTTGATCATATACACATGTTTAAAGAGTTTCGAAAGAAATTTATTTTTTACACTTTTTCATAATAAAAATTGTCTTTCACAAAGATGAATTATATTAAGAGCTTTACGCAAATCACATTTTTCATAAACCATTTGTGGCAAATAAAAAACAAAACGAAAGGAAGCAAAGAAATACAAGGATTTAATTCTGTACAAACTTTTTAACATTGTGAATTTTTCAAAAAAATTGAAAAAAACAAAATAAATTATTTCATAAACAGTATTGAAATAACCTAATTCGTTATTACCTTTTTTTTTTTTTTTTTCAAATAGCTGGAAATTGCAAAACTTACGCTTTATATTGTTAAATATCGAATATGACAAAAGTTACTTCTTAAATGCTACTCAGTTATGTTGCATAAAAATTGAAGTAACTAAAAAGTTTCACCTTGTGAAAACAATGTTTATGAAATTATGCAGTTAGTATTTTCGTTCCAAAGATATTTGTGTACAAATACACTTATGTGTATATATAAATGTATAAAACAGAACACCAATTTGAAAGAGGGAAAATACAGTGGAAAAGTTTTTGCATGAATTCATCTTGCGCATGAAAAAGTGGAATCAAACATCTTAGTAAAAATAAAAAATGAATTTGTGACAGACGAGAAATTAAGCATATGTACGAAATACATATATGTATATACACATATTGCATATATGTTTTTTAAGTGTGCTAACATTCATGTACCTACATTCCTTTGTGTGCTTTCGTGAACGTGGCCTATCCGAATTTTGTGAAGTTCTAAGGTGTTAAAAGGAAAAGGCAAAAGTTGGTCTTTTTTTTGCCTTTTCCTTTTCCTTTTTTTTTTTTTTTTTTTTTCCTTCTTTGCTTTTGTTTTATCATATTTCTGTAGTTTCGTTTTTCCAGAATAAGATAAAATAAATACCTCAATTTTTGTAACTTTAAACTTTTTAAATTAATATGTACCTTACGAGTTGGATGTTACCAACAAGATCATATTTTAATTTTGCGTTTGTAAGGGGGTAAAATGAATTAAAATCTGCACTTGGCCATATTAAAGCGGAAGCATCTGCATCCTATGCGCGATGTAGTTACATGCATACATGCATACACAAGTGCATAGTCACTACACATGTGCATAATTACACATATGCTTACATGCTGAAAGGGACGCATATTCACCTATCCAGCTCCTCCATAATTTTGTATATTTAAACGCACAACGCGAGAGGAAAGCCTCAACTATAATTGTCTAGATCGAGTTCTTACAAAGTAAAGACAAAATGGAAAACAGGGAAAACGTAGAATTAAGCGAGGAACAAATTTTATGTCTATACATAGACACGAAAAAGTATCAGAAAAAAGTAGGTGTATGTTTTTACAACTATTTAAAGTATGAATTTTTAATGACTGAATTTATTGACAATGGATATTTTACGACCTTAGAATCTTTGTTTATACAAAAAAGACCGTACAAATGTTTTTTCAGCAGCACGAATGATTTAGTTGATGACGAAAGACTTTTAAATTTATTTAAAATGTGCAATATAGAACCAGTTTCACTGGAAAAGAAAAAATACGATGTAACAAATTTGAAGGAAGAATTAAAATTAATAATACCACAAAATGATGATGTTCGAAATTATGATAAACATTTGGAATTAGAAAATGCATGTAAATGTTTGATGGCATTAATAAACCATTTAAAAATTAAAGAAAATCAAGACATACATTATCAGTGTACTATTAATATACACAATATGGATTTATATATGCGATTAGATAAAGCAGCTATTAGTGCATTAAATATACTTCCAAATAAGAAAAATTTAAATAGTTATAGTAATAATACAAGTTTATTAAAATTTTTAGACAAATGTAATACAACCATGGGATCTAAGAAGTTAGCATCTTGGCTTACTCAACCATTAACAAATATTACTGAAATTAATAAAAGATTAAATATTGTTGAAACATTTATAGAAGAAGATGATTTGCGTAATAGTATTTATTGTAATTATTTAAAAAGGATACCAGAACTAGACAGATTAAATCATTATTTAAAGGAAATTAATCAAAATAACGAGATACGAATGAATTCTAAATATAATGAAGAAATGATTCTAAAAGACATTGTAAAATTGTACTATGCTATTTTAGATTTTAAACAAATATATTTTTCTTTAGTGTCCATTCAAGGAAAACATAAAGAAACGATAATCGAAATGTTTGTAAAACCTTTGCATGAAATATTAAATAACTTTTCCAAATTGTTAGATATGATTGAAATGACTATAGATTTAAAAGAGATTGAAGAAAACAAAGTTTATTTAATTGCAAAGCATTTTGATGAAGAATTAGAAGAAATATCAAATGAAAAAAATGCACTAATGAAAAAAATTAAAAGTCATAAAGAAGATGTTGAAAATGATTTATTTTGTGACAAATATGACAGACGATATAAGAGGAACAATAGAGAAGACATTCGATTAGTAGATTGTAATACAAATGTATTTTTATTTAGAGTATCGAAAAAAGATTCTTCCCTAATTCAACACCAAAAAAAATTTATATCAGTTCGCATGAATAAGAATGAATTTTTGTTTACAACGAATACTTTGAAAAGTTTATGTAAGCAATATGAACATTGTTTAAATATTTATAACACGTTGCAGTTAGAAATTGTAAAAAAAACCATATGTGCTGTTTCGACCTATACTCCAGTAATTGAAAAATTTATAGATATCGTATCTACCTTAGATGTATTAATATCTTTTTCTGTTGTTTGTTATAATTCCCCATTTCCATATGTTAGACCAACAATAGTAGAAAATGGAGAAAATGTAATTATGAAAAAATCACGACACCCGTTACTAGAATTACAACATAATTTGAATAACTTCATACCAAATGACATTCATATGAATAAAAAAACAAGTAGATTGATAATAATCACAGGACCAAATATGGGTGGAAAAAGTACTTACATTAGACAAACAGGTATAATTTGTATATTAGCACAAATAGGTATGTTTGTACCTTGCGATTCTTGTGAAATTCCTATTTTTAGTCAAATAATGTGTAGAGTAGGTGCTTCCGATTTTCAGCTAAAAGGGATATCTACCTTTTTATCCGAAATGATAGAAGCATCTGCAATTGTTAAAAATGCTGATAAAAACTCTTTTATTATTGTGGATGAATTGGGTAGGGGTACATCTACATATGAAGGATTAGGTATAAGTTGGTCTATTGGAAAGTATATCTTAGATAACATAAAATGCTTCTGCCTATTTGCTACTCATTTTCACGAAATTTCAAATATTGCTTATCAGTGTGAGGGAGTTGTTAACAGACATGTGGAAACGACAATTGATCAAAAGCAAAAAAAAATATACTTTTTATATGAAATTAAGGATGGTGCATCAAATAAAAGTTATGGTATAAATGTTGCTGAAATAGCTAAGTTACCAAAAGATGTTATTCAAAAGGCTTATGAAAAAGTAGAAGAACTTGAATCAGCAGAAAATAAATACTACCTAAAAGAAAAGTTAAACATTGACACAGAATCTAATACTAATGAGAGCTATAAAAATAAAATTTCTAATTATATGAAAATTAAGGATGAAATGAATTACTTATTTTCTGCTAATAGTGAAAATGAATTCATGAATAGGTTTATGTCCAAAAAGAGTTATTTGAAGGAACTAGCTATTTAATATTTTAAAATAGAATCACACAATCAGAATATTCCAAATTGTAAATTGAAAATTCGGACGAATGGGGAGATACATACGTATTAAGGGGGGAGATGGGGGGAGAGTATCCACCTTATCGACTACACATAAGTGCAAACATTTTATATGTACATGCACGTTTTCACGTATTTACATAAAACAGTCCGTGCATCGGCACCTTTAAGTGGATTTTTTTTCTTTTTAAAAGTTTTTTAGAAATCACATTTTTGGTATGAACCTCTTTGGGAGAAGACAGCATTTGCTTTGTTACTCCCTCCACCTCCTACAAGCTAGATATTTATATACATATATAGTATACATTTTCCAATCCTTGTGTTCCTGTGTATACACAAATTTGCTAATTTTGTAAGCTCCGCGCTTACTCTATTTAGACGAATGTCTGTTTTTCCATTTTAAAAACGTGCATTTTTGAAAAATAATAAAAGGGGAAAGACGTATGATTTCGTTAGTGTATTCTATTGAACTTTTTATTTTATTTTTTTTCCTCCCTCAAATATGGAATAACTTCCATGAATTGTGACTCAAATTATGTTATTCATCTCCATGTCTATTAAAAGATATGTTATGTAATTCTTGTAGGTTTAAAATTACTCCATTTTTTCATGATTCCTTTCGAATTAAAAACATCGTGAAAGGCATACACATTTGCCATAGGGGAGGTTTGCATAGAAGCACATACATGAGAACACACAATTTGGAAAGTGTATATGGAACTTATATATATATATATAAACTCATATATGCACACATATTTTTGAGCATTTACATATGTACTCACATACTTAAGAAAACGCACACACTGGGAAAAGAAGAAAGTGAAAAATGAAAGTGTAATAAAGTCACACAAAATAAAAAAAAATGGATAAATTTATCACAAGTAAAAATTCATAAAGCTGTAAAAATATACTGAAGATGAGGTAGTTTATCCTTGAGTGAACAGAAAAAGGAAGGAATTATAGACTAAGATAAAAATGCTTCGAAACGTTTTTTATGGAAAAATATGAAGAAAAAAAAATTCAATGATAATCAGTGATTATACACAAAATGTAAAGAAGCCTGCTCGTTGAGAACCTGTATTTATTATTTATTTTACTTTATTGCATTACATTATACTTTTTTATTTTATTTTGCGTTTCCACATGAGAAATAAAAGGATCAAGGGAGAGTTTTTTTTTTATCAAATACTTTTTGTTTCAAGTTCTTATATGTACATCTGCATTACACATATTAATGCAGCATTGAGTTTGTCCATTTCGATTGTGATGAATGGCTACTTCATTGCTTTTTAAAATTTAAAAAAAAGTAAAATATTAAAAAATATTTATACACATTTTAAGAAAACTACAGTATTAGTACTAGAGGATATTACTGATATGCATTTTTGCTAAAGAGGCGATGCTTCCCTTTGCTTATATACATGTATAAGGGATATATCTTGCGCTATGGTAATTTTTTTAAATCTCACGTTTTTACACATTTTATTCCTGTTATATATATTTCCAAGCGATTGTGGTATACATAAATATATAAAATTTATGTTACACGTTATGTTTGCACCTTTTAATTTTTCTCCCTTTTTTTTTTTTTTTTTTTTACACCATTTTCTCTTTTCCATCTTTCTCCATACACATATTTTGGATGTTGTTTTTTTTTTTTTTTTTTTTTTTTTTTTTCATAAACCGTTTAAATTTCATCTAAAAACTAAAATTATATAAATGATTGCCCTGCATATGTGTATATGTATATCCATACATACACATAAGCATATGCATGAATGTTTAAATTTCATAATATCTCTAAGCATTATATAATGAATTTCAAAACTGTACAAGCTATTCTACTTAACTGAAAGGTCCCCTTTTTGTGCCCTATTTCGTTATATATACATACATATATTTTTTTTTTTTTTTTTGTTAGTTTTTTTCACACTCCGTTTTTTTATAAAAAAGTTGTTACTTTTTGAAAATTTAAATAGGTTTTAATGAAAGTTATTGAAAGGTTAGGACAGGATACACATAAAACATGTTACACTGTTTGTTCTTTATATTAAAATTTGCGCCCTTTTTTTTTTTTTTTTTTTTTTTTTTAAACCTCATTTCTCAGTTTTCTATAAAAGATAAAATTAAAATAGGAAATAAAAAAATGCAGCGTTAATGGCAATATTGTGAATAACCTTTAAAAAATTTGGATCCGTTAGTTTTGCGAAGTTTTGAAAGTGTAAAAGGTTTGTCAAATAGTTTATTTATAAACATAAATATACGCATGAATATAATATATACATGCGTTTATGTGTTAATAATATGTATCAAAACTTTGTGTATCATTTGGAATAGCATTAATACAGAATTTGTTAGCATCTGTGTGAGATTTCCCAATATATGATCTTTCTTTAACTTTTTTTTTTTTTTTATAAGTGAAATTAACTTTGCACAGATTCATTGCGTGTTATATATATATGTATATGTGTGTACGTGTGTACATGTATGCATGTATGCTTTTACACTCACACTTACCATCTATGCTTGAATGTGTGTATGCATGTGTACCACACATATACACTAAATAAATGATCCTTGCCTTTGCTACATCCATAAATGATGCCTGAAGAGAAAAAGTTGAACAAGCCTCTACTTAACATGAGTGACCATGATGGGGAAGCTAAGGAATATACTAATAAGGAAAAAGAACACAGTAGTACTTTGGGTGTGTCGTCAAAATATCATGTAAGTCATCACGATATGAAAAATTTAATGAAAAGGAATGAAAAGAAAATAAAAAGTGAAAATGTATATATAGACTACCTCAGGTCTAGGTTTAAAAGAAATGAGAGCTCGGAAATTTCCAAGTATAGTAGTGCATTAGATGAAAACGGAAGAGAATACAAGGAATACAAAGAATTTAAAGATTCCAATGAATCCTATGTTAATAGAAAAATGTTTCCCTATAAGATGGGATACAAAGGAGAAGACGTAAGTAAAGAAACAGAGGAGTATTCAAAAAGTGACGATTTTAAGGTTCGCATTAAATGCTTTAATAAATATTTAAAGCATTATGTTCATAAAATAAGTAATGGGGAAACCGTGCAATATTCTTTGCAAACACATGAATTATTAAAAATAGTTCATCAAATAAAGGGAGAAAATACGCCTACAAATTCTAGTGGTCTAGCTCAATATAGAGATATAAGACAATTGCTCTCAAGTAATAGTAACACAAGATTTGATATATCACCAAAAAGAAATTGTGTATTAATTAATTTGCCATATAGAAAATGTATAATATTTAAAGACTTCTTATTATATATTCCTACCTTTACAAATAGCCCAGTACCTGAAATAGCTGAAAAGGAAGAAAGAATGTGTAAATATTTTATTGAAAATGCAAAAGTTATTTCTTTAATAAAAGATTCATTACCCTTTGAAATATTAATTTTAGAAGCTATTTTTGTTGATATATGTGAAGAATTAAAAAATGAAATTGAACCCGTAATATGTGAAGCAGAAAAATTATTCGAGATAATAAGCAATAATTTAAGTATATACAAATGCATAAACAAATTGACAGAGATGAGAAGAAAGTTAAAAATAATTGATGAAAAGGTACAAAGTGTTTATAAAGCTTTACATACAGTTTTAAATAATGATGAAGATGTAAGAAGGTTGGAAGTGTCTTATTTTGGAGATAAACCAGAATTATGGGAAAAATGTGACCCAACACCAAATAATGAGGACACTGAAATGTTACTAGAATATTATTGTCATGAAATTGATGAGTTTTTAAAAATTATTCATAGAACGTATCAATCATTAGATGACGTCTTACAAATGGTAGAACTGAATTTAGATGATGCAAGGAATAATGTTTTAAAATTAGAATTAGGGTTGAAGATATATGGTATAATTATAACTGTTGTAGGTACTGTAGCAGCTATTTTTGGAATGAATTTAAAAAATGGATTTGAAAGTGATCAATATGTTTTCTGGACCCTTGCATTCTCTCTAATGCTTATAATACTATTCTGTTTATTTTATGTCATTGTATCTTTCAAGAAGGTGAACATCTAATGTCTTTTACTTTTGTTTTACTTTGTATGCATATTTAGAGGGGAATTAATATCACATAGATGTTTTTTTCCCACAAATGCAAGCACCTATATATTATTTGTTATGCAAATGCATTTTAATTTTTGTTCAAACAACAACAAACAAAAAAATAAAATATATAAAAAAAAAAAAAAAAAAAAAAAAAAAATCATTATGATTATAGTCAGGGGAAAAACTCTTTTCACTGTAAGACATACACACAAGATAAAATAATAATTACTGGGGATATTCTTAATTTATATTTTATTTTTCCTTATTGTCAATTTCTCCTCCTATGTTTATGTAAACGTCTTAATGGTCGTACTACTTCTCATGTTTAGCAAGCTAAAAGAGCATCCCTGTACAGCTAGGAAAAAAGTAAATGTACAAAATATGCATGTTATATACATTTACACGTTTGTGTGTGTGCAATTTGCTTCTTTTTTTTTTTTTTTTTTTTTTTTTTTTTAATGAAGCAGTATGCATTTTTAAGTGGGTAGGAATATGTTCCCCAAAAAATACATACGCGCATATATATGCATCCTTAAAACCAATGTATTAAAAGTATTAAAGGTATTAAAGGTATTAAAGGCACATGCATATAAAACTCGTAAAGGCAGCACCCACATTCAATGTACATATTTACATGAGTGTACTTATGCATGTACGCTTGTATATACATGTTTATGTATGCAGGGAATATAGACAAGCCAAAATGCTTACAGTTCTCAATTTCGGTAAAAATCTGAATTAATTCCTTCGATATCCTCAAAAGCACTTAATATTGTACACATTATATGTTTGTGCACAACTCTTACTTTCTAATAATTTTTGCTGCACATATTTCTCATTTCACGAGTTTTCAACCAATAAAAAAAATAAAACGAACCAAAAATACTCACAGTAAATCCGCAAAACAAAATAAAATCGACAACATTTTGCTTTAATGAATTTAAACCCACTCCTATGTCCCATTCATAAGTTGGTGGCTTGGTTGCGTATTCACCGTTCATTGGGGAAAGTTATATTTTCGTAAATTATTTAAGCTGAACTAGGTAAAAAGGGGAAGAGGAAAAAAAAAAAAAAAAAAAAAAAAGGAGAAATTGAAAAAATTGCTACATATAGCGCGTTATTATAAAAAAAACTATGAGGAAAAAAATTGCATATTCTAACTTAACTTTTTAAGGGCTTGAAAAAAGCCATGTGTAAAACGAATTGATAAAAACTACTACTGAGAATAAGTTTGGCAAAGCATCTGTAACTTTTATCCTTTACGAGGTTGAGAGATGATGAAACGCATATAATATTAAAGGAAGAAGAAAAAAAAAAAAAAAATAAAATAAAATAAATAAATAAAATAAAATAAAAAAAGAGTGAAGTGTGCTACTGATTTGTCACTTTCTTTTTAATAATTTAAGGACATAAATGTGTGTATTGCATATACATATATATTACACATGCATGTTCGTACTTATGTATATTTGCGTGCATGAATATAATGTAATTTACGAGGTTTTCTTTTACCATAATGAATAAACACAAGTAGCACGGAAGTGACAATGGTCATTTCCTTTTGCATTCAACGTGAAGAAGGAAATTATTATAATGGTGTTTTGTAACCTTACATTAATGATATTTTTTCCTTTCTTTTTTTTGAACAAAAAATGAAAAGGGGTGGGGGTGGGGGATAAAGTATGAGTCTGTTCATTTACAATGCTTCAAAGTGAATTGTATTATAGTTTGTTTTTTTTTGGAGACAATTGCATTCATATGGCAAAGAAAAGGCTATGTAACGTTGCTTGGAGTTTTATAGTTAGTATAAGACAAATGATCTTCCCTAAACATTTTGTTTTATGCATTATAGCTATCTTTTATTTGCTTTATATATGCATTTATTTGTTCAAATTAAAGGAAAAGTAGCATCTTTGGGGGGGGATATTATATAAAGTTAGTTTAGGGCTATATAACATGGGGGGGAAAAAAAAATATATTAAAATAAAGAAAGTTTAGGGCTAAATCACATGGAAAAAAAAAAAAATATTAAAATAAAGAAAGTTCATATGTATATATGTCCAAATCATATAAATGTACAAAAAAAAAAAAAAAAAAAAAAAAAAAAATGGAGTTGAAACATCTTCACTTGTGAAAAAACAAGTGAATTAATTTTTGATATCATGCAAACGTAATAAAGAGTAGCAAATTCTGCGCTTCCATAGTGTCTGGTTATTAGTGCAGAATAGGACGAGTGGAATATAGTCTACATCGCAGTTATGCATTTAATGCATTATTCAAACATAACAATTTGATAGCGTTCTCCTTCACTGTTAATTTCATAACGTTTCCTAAATTGACGCAACATTCAATGCAAGTACGAACCATGGCTTCAAAAATGTCAATAGGAACTTCAGCATCAAATTCTAACAAAATAATTTTCTGTGTATTGAGTTCGATTACCATAGTTAATTCAGGGGCCCCTGAATTAATTTCTAACTGATTACCATCTACTATTATATGATTTTGTAAATATAAAACAGAACATGCTGATACAAAATACCTAACAGATATTCCGGCATCTATTAATGCTAACATGCATGCATTTATAGCAGCATGTTTCACACCTCCATCTCGTTCTATTATGTACAAAAATATATTTATTTCAGAATTTTTATATAAATCTAACAATATGACGTTTTCACAAATGTTTCTTATGTAAGCACTTATTTCATTTGTTATGCTGTCTTTCGTTTTTTTTTTTTTTTTTTCATATACATTAAATGGAGATAAAAATACTTCACACTTTATTGAACATTTTTCATCCGATTTTTTTAATTCTGTTGGTCCTTGTATATACGAGAATAATTTTGTGTTTCCTATTTCGTAAAAGGAAAATCCGTCTGCCTCTGTAAATATATTTTCACTTCCTACGTTTATTTTTATAAACCTGCATTCATTTTCTTTTCTTCCATCAATTCTATACCCCTCCTCATTAATATATTCAAGAATCGGCATACCTATATTTATATATATATATATATATATACATACATACATATGTTATCCTTGTGTGATAAGGGTGAGGAAAGAAGAAGACGAAGAAAAAGAGGAGAAGAAAAGAAAAAAAAAAAAAAAAAAATAAAATAATATATTTCCCTTGTTTTGTACTTAATATGATATATCTATGTTTGCTACAGAATATAATTTTTTACTAGCTTAAAATACAGTAAATGACAACAATGTATGGATAATCTTTTTCTTTTGTTTTAAGAAACCCATAAAAAATTTTTTTTTGATATTTGTTATAAGTCATTCGATTTTCTCATACACATTGGTATACAAAATCGGAAGAGTGAGTTTGGAAAAAAAAAAAAAAATAAAAGGGTAATAATTAAAAAAAAGAACTTTTATTTTTTTTTTCTTTTTCGATCTTATTACATGTAGGCTACAACATTTCGTGTTAGCAAAAAATACTTCTTACAATAAAAGATAAGAATGACTGTTGCTGTTATATATCATATAACTTTTTCACAATTTAATTTATATTTTTTTCCTCATAATCCGCTATCTTTAATATACATGTGTACTTATTGTTGAATGAAGTGATATGAGTCAAAAAATTACAATTGGTTTTATTGAGCGGTAGAAAGAGGTTGAAATAAAAAAAAAAAAAAAATGTTAAAATGGGAAAAATTGGCAAGTAACACCAAAATGTTGAATAGAACGCTTAATTGTAAAAAAAGAAAAAAAAAAAAAAAAAAAATAATATCCCCCCCCTGGGATAGGAAAAACTTTGAAAAAAAAAAAAAACTCTTAAAATGGGAAATCCACTTATCTATTACTTTTTGGTACATATAAGTATACCAAATTTTGTATGAACGAACACTTATTAGTTATCTTTTTTTCTTTTTTTTTCGGGAGTACAATACATTTCATTGCGTTCATATTATATTGGGGTTCCAGGGGAAAAAGCTGTACACATAGAAGAACATTCAAAATACTTATACATTGGGAAGGGTGTATGTTTTTTAATCGTTAGGAACAAACAAAAAATGCTTAATTATGTGAATCTACACTGCATATATAAAAACACACCTTTGAGTCATACGTTGAAGGATACACTGGAAAAAATAGTAGTGTTTTGGACAGAAACACATATGGGTTCGCTGCGTTCATTATTTTCGTCCATTTCTTCTACAAAACATATATGAAGGAATCTCATATTATTACAAAGTATAATATTCGCTTAATGGTTTAAGTATTTAGAAGTTTACATTTTTATCTTTCTTATTCTCCGTTTCCCATTATAATGGTAAAAAAAAAAAAAAAAAAACACACCTTTCTTTTTGCACAAAAATCTGTGCTTACATGTGAGAGTAAGCATTTGTACCTACTTACAAAGGATACATTACATACATTATGTATATATGTATGTGTGTGTCATAAGAAAAATGTTAGACAGATGTCGTATGTTGAAATTAAATATGCCATTGCATATGAAAAAAAATTGTTTTAAATTAGGAAGGATATAACATATTATGAGTAAATACCTGTGTATATTTGTGTGCGATATTATTTGCGCTGGACGTATTTTACATGAGGAGACAAATACATTGTCATATATCAGCTTCAATGTTAGCCCGGAAATTGGTAAAAAATGTGAAATTGTATTTTTAAATCCTGGTAGAATATTCGAAACGATGGTATTATTTTACTTTTTGGTATATATCAGTGTGTAAAAGGTGTTTTTTTTTTTTTTTATTTATATACAAATATGATCAAGTATAAAAAAAAAAAAAAAAATAAAATAAATTAAAAAGATGGATACACCATTTTATAAATACACTTTTTCATAAAAAAAAAAAAAAAGAGGGAAAAGCATAAAAAAAAAAAAAAAAATGTGTGTGAAATGAAAAATGAATATTAAATGAATGAAATTTTATAATCACCTAAAGCTCCTTTTAAACGCATATATGTACATATGTTCCTCAATAAGATTCATCATATTTCTCTTTTGTTGAAGTTGAATTTTAAAGTAAGCGCGAGACATTAATGTATTTGATCTTCTTAAGGTATATGAAAAGTTTATGCAAAGAGCAGCCCCAAAAGTAGAAGAAATGTAAAAAAAAAAAAAAAAAAAGAAAAAAAAAGAAAAGAAAAGAAAAGAAAAGAAAAGAAAAGAAAAGAAGAAATAAAGCAATCATTTCTCACTTTCGAAACTATATTAAAAAATATTCATATATATACATAAATGTACATATATATTTACACCCATTCATGCATATATTTATTATTTTTATATGTAGCGTTTTTGTGCAGAAAAGCTGAAACCATAATCCTATAATAATCATGAGGTCAAAGATAAAAAAAAAAAAAAAAAAAAAAGTATACATTACACATGCGTTTGAACGTACTTAACATTCGTGCATATATGAATGGTTTAATATAGCTACATATATTTTGTGTATCTAAAAAGAAAAACTTTTTTTTTGGAGAGAGAGAAAAAAAAAAAAAAAAAAAATATAGTATATAATTTTCACTACGTATTAATTTCGCCGTTATACTTATATCTACACAAGTTTATTTTTCATTTCTCTCTCTTTTTTCCCCCACTCCCCACATTTCACTGGGCTTTAAGGAATGACATATTTTTTTTTTCATGCCACACATTTTGTTTTCACAGAATTGAATAATAATTTGCTTGTTAATTTAAAAGTTTTAATAAAATACACAGTTTTATTACGTAAAGGAGAAGTCCATTCAAAGGAGCTTTTAACCAGTCTGAATTTACTTTACCTTTATATCAGGGATACAGTAATAATACATAAACCGCGCACATTGCATATAGCATATTGCATACATGTATGTGTTCATACATTCATGCCTAATATTTTTTACCTTCCAAATATACCTATATGCGTATCCATGAATGTACATTCACACTACATGAAGATGCGCATGTATAATTAGGAGATATTTGCATTTGTGCTATATATATATACCTACATATATATGTACATTTATATTTATACATATATATTTATGCATATATATTTATGCATATATATTTATGCATATACATGTAAGGAACGCATGCATGTGTTAGCAGAAGATATATTACACACATGTGTGTGCAGATGTTTTTTGAATTTAAAAAGGAGGTGATTATAAAGTTCATATACTTCACCAATAAGAGCCTGAGTAGGGCAGACATAGAAAATTTTAAATTCGAGGAAGTACAAAAACCAATATGCTGTAATGCCCTTGATATATCTAATGACAGTGTTAGCCTTTTTTTTTAACCATTTATGTCGTTCAGATGGAAAAATAATTTAGATGGATTATTATCTGATGCGTAATTTAAAAAAAAAAAAACACATATATTATTCACCTTATTTACAATATGCCATAAATGTAGATCGTGTGTTACTATCGTGTTTGCACCTGGTTACACCTATAAGTCTGTTTCATTCCTGTGCTCACGAAGTTGTATCGCTTATGTTCCTCATAACACGTTTAAATCTTTTCATTTGAACAAGTTCCCAAACGTGTACTCTTTCAAATCTTGACACAAGCATGAAAAATGCCAAAAGTTTTGATGATATTTTGCTTACACAGTTAGATACTCCTTTATTTTCATTTTGAGAGAACGTAAAGAAAAAAACTGCAAGAAAAACACAAGGCAAAATAGAGGCAAAGTTACATGCACAATACCCAATATATACAATCCAATTGTCAACAATTATTGCATCCATGCTCGTTTACGTCCACTTTGAGTAACACGTATTAATATCCCAATTTTGGCCATGTTTTTGCCCTTTTTTTTTTTTTAAATGAATTTTTTTAAGCGTTTGAAAAAGTTCATATTCGAGAGGGAAGACATGTGCATATATCTGTACTTGTATACATCTATCAACACATACGCATATGCGTAAGAGGGATATCGAAGCAGCTATACGTAGTGATGTTCATACGTGTGCACCATACCCTTTTGACTTTGTTCATTTTAAACAAATTCGTGCGACATTTTTAAAGCCGTGTTACCGTTGAGTTGAAGCTCATATATGTATGTATGTGTACATATTTTTACATATATATATATATATATATATATATATATATATATATATATATATATATATATACATACATATACTTATGCACACCCATATGTGCGCTTGCGAAAGTTCACGAATGGCGAGAACTTGTTTAGACCTTCCCTTTTCATACAAAACTACAACATAGCTTATTCCACTTCCATAAGGGCTCACTTAGGGCTCGCACTTGTCCGTATATGTACCCTTTTTCATATGCATTTTTTCTAATAGCACCTAATACATATCACTTCACGTGCACATGCATATATGTATATTCCTTCCAATTTTTTGTAGCACACGTCTTCTTCCCGTCATATTTAAATATCTCCAGTTTTAGAACATTGGAGTTTTTCCCATTAACCGAGACAATCAGTCTTATCCTCTTCATTCTCCACTTAGAATAAAACGATGGAAAAGGCAATTAAAGAACGAATTGAGAAATGGAAAAAAGAAAATTCAGTCGATGGTAAAGAAGTAACAAATGAAAATGCATATGAAAATTTGACGGAACTAATATTAGATGGAAAGAAATTTAGTGCAATAAAAAATGAAGATGTAGAATTATTAAAAAAATTTACTCATTTAGAAAGATTAAGTTTGAATCAAACAGGAATACAGACCTTAGAAAATTTCCCCAAAATAGAAACTTTGAATGTGTTAGAATTAACGGATAATCATTTAAGTACAGTAGATGTATTAAAATATATAGTCGAAACGTTTCCAAATATAAAAACGTTAGAAATAGGTGGAAATCATTTTAAAAATATCAAAGATTTTGAAGTATTAAAGGATTTAAAAAATTTAATTCGCCTAGGTGTACAATTTAACCCATTTGCTGATGATCCAAATTATCGCAAGGAATTATTTACCTTTCTACCAGATATTAAAATTATAGATTGTTATAACAAAGAAGGAGTTGAAGTTTTAAGCTCTGATGAAGAAGAAGATGAAGAATATGAAGAAGATAATACTCTTAAGAACTTTTATGAAGCCGATTTTAAAGAAGAAGATGAAGAGGAAGATGAAGAATTTATTCCAAATGATAATGAGGATGAAGAGGATGATGAATTAGATGATGATTTAGAGGAAGAAGAATTAGATGATTTAGATAAAGCAGATTTAGATGTAGAAACAAAAGATACAGAAAATCCACAGAAAGAGGAAAAAACAAATAAAAGAAAACAGGAATCTGTAGACAGTTCTAATGAAACGGACACAAAAAAAGCAAAAGTCGAATAAGAAGTAGTGCTAACATTTTAAGCGCTTACAAAAAAGGTGTGTGTAGTAGGGTTGTTGTGGCCAAAAAAGAAACTATTATTTTATTTTTATTTTTTTTTTTTTTTTCCACACATACCCCCCTCCCCAATAAAATGGCTAAATTTTATTCTACCTTTCTTATTATGAACAATGGAAAAATATATGCACCTTAATCGTTGCATTTTAATTCCTTTCGGAAAGTGGCAAATTGAATGGCCTCATGCGCTTGTCTTTACCTTTACCCCCCCCCACACACACACATACACACTGCACGTCCTTGCGTATTACATTCATTCCGTGCACACATGTATGTACATATATATGCATATGTGCCTACATATACATATGTACATATATATATATATATATATATACATACATGTGTACATATGCATATATTCATTCGTGCGTGCATTTTTTCCCCTTAAGGGGTTTCAGCGCATGACGTTTTAAAATTTCTTATTTTGCGTTTTTGCGCAGTTCACACATTAATTATGCATTTATTTATTTTTATATTTTTATTTTATTTATTTTTATTTTATTTATATTTTTTTCTCCAGCACCAATTATAATTTAATCAGCTTTTAAAATGTTGCAAAGTCGAAAAGCATGCGTTTTCACATAAAGTACATATGCATACAGTTATTATTTTTACATGTTTATGCACGTGTATATTTATATATGCCTATGTTATATATATTTATATATTTATACCCATCATATACCTGTATACATATATTTATAAGTACTCATGAGTGCATATAGATCCACTATGATGAAAGAGGACGAAATTAGTTATGAAAGATGGCAAAGATATACGTGAACACACGTGTCGTAGGAGTGCATATCCCTCATATGTGTGGATGTGTATGTATATAATACATATACATATGCCATTTATACATATATGCAAATGTATACATGCACATCCCACATACGGTACGGCTTTTTTTTTTTATTTTAAATTTACACACCGAAAATTAATACGCAGTATATATCCTATATTAGAATTTATTATATATATGACAATGGCATTAAAATGAGGCAAATTTTTAATGCTAAAAGTGTGAATGTCAATAAAATAGGCTGAACGGATAGCCATAGTTGGAGGAGGAGGAAAAAAAAAAAAAAAAAAAAAAAAAGGAAAGCATTGTAATGTTAAGAATGTAAAGAAAAATTTAAGTCTTCTCAGTGAATAATCGCTTAGAACTACAGTTACATATATGTTGTGGGTCTATTTAATTGTAATTTCCTTATCTCTCTCCTTTTTTTCTGTATTTTGGTTTTATTTTTATTCAGTTTCTCCTTCCGTGCAAGTGTTTGCATACATATATACTTATAAGTATGCGTAAATTTGTCTCATCAGCACAATTTGCCCATTATATGCAAATTATAAAAATGCGATTTCATTACTGGTTCTACTAAGTGAATATCTCAGTTCTAAAGAAACAAAAATGACTTTGAAAAAAATCAAGTTTATTTCCCTTTATTTTAGCATGTATTTTAGGGGATATATGGATTTTTTTTTTTTTTTTTTTTTTTTTTTTTTCGAAAAATATCCAAGCGGCAAATTTTGTTTTGCATTTATAGGATGGTGCATAGTCAAATATGCATATTATAAGCATATGAGAATAAGTTAAGTGGTTTGTGGTTTGTAAAAACATTAACATGCCATTTCTCATTTCCTGTGCTCCTGAAATATACAAGCATTACACACATATATTCATTAGTTCTTTTGAGAATTTCACGGCTCCCCTTTTGTGCATACTAAGATTGCAATATGTTGATAAGAGATTACCTCGTAAAAATACACATCACTGACATGGTTCTCTAAAATGGGTTTTCTATCAGTGTTCTCAAATGATTTTACCATGAGCACTTTTAAATGGATTTCCATGAGTCCTCTTAAATGAATAAGTCTAACACACCCACGTAGTACAATTAAGCACCCCATTTTTACATCCTCTAAGGGGGCATAACACACTGATGAGAGGAAACAAAAATTTGATGGCAAGCTTTTTTATTTCTTATTTTGCGTAGAAGTTTTTTTTTTTTTTTTTTTTTTTTTTTTTTTTTTTTTATGCAAGCCTTTTTATGGCCATTTTTAAAAAAAAAAAAAAAAAAAAAAAAATAGTTACCATTATGTCATGTGCAAAAATAAATTGGAAGACTGCTGCTTTTTGCTGCAATAATAAGAAAATAAGCTTATGAGAAAATAAAGGGTTAAAAAGAGAAAAAAAAAAAAGAAAAAGAAAAATGGAAACTTTCAATATTCGAAATAGTGTCCATATAGATTTGTTGGAACCATTAATTACAATCAGTGTAGTATTTATTTGTTTATACATGATTATAAGTACTGAAAACCCTGCATATTATTTAATCAGAAGTTTTTTTTTTAAGAGCAAGATATTTTTTTGGGAAATAAAAGATATTTTTACAAATATTAATTTTTTTGCTCTTACCTTTTCATCCTTTTTTTTTGTTTCGTATCATATTTCACAAGTATTAAGTCATAAAAATATCAAGCCCCTTTTTTGTGTCAATTACGACTATTACGACAGAATTCTTAATTACAACTTGAAAGATGTAAATATCAAGTTCATGTTTCAAAATGGCATTAGCGAAAATTATTTTATTAATTTTTTGCATTCATTTAAGTTCTTTTTTAATATATATTTTTTAAATGACACCAGTTTTTTAAACACAGTCTTTACCTTCTTTTTCGTCTTCATTCTTCTGTCTTTATATGCAAAACAAGTCAATCGGGTAATTCTTAGTGAGGGCAGTGTGAGGTTTATGTGCACCTAAAAAGTAGACACATCGTTCCTCCCCTCAATCTGTTCATGCAGCAAACATAGCGAATATGGGGAATTCCCTCAATTGTGCTTGACCATTGCATCACTTTTTAAGGGAAGTGTTGAACGCCGCCCATACCACAGCACCTCACAATGAACCATATGCAAGCTCACCCACGAACAAATATAAATGTGCACAAAAATGTACATATAAATATGAGGACAAAAATGTACATATAAATATGTGCACAAAAATGTACATATAAATATGTGCACAAAAATGTACATATAAATATGAGCACAAATACGTACGTACACATAAGTATGCCCTTGCCCCGGCTGATGCCTCCGCAGGCTGTGTTCATAATCACCACCCTGGGAAATGCAATTATATCGGGATTCGTTCTAGTGTTTTTTTTAAAAAAAGTTTTAAACGTTGAATATAACCAATGTGGTGAAGAAATATTTTCTTTCCTATTTTTAATATTCTTTTACATAAGCAACCCATACTTAAGTGTTTTCCAGTACAATGACAGAAGCCTTCATCCATACCACGGCACAGAATTACGATTGTACATTCACTTATTATTTTTTGTAAGATATGTAATCTATAATGGGGAGTTTTATGAAATCAAGGCGCTAGTATCTGTACTAATATATTTTACTATGTTCCTCAGACAGATAATGGATAGCTTTGAGGTATATTAATTGGGAGAACAGTGGAGAGAGATTATGTAAAAAAAAAAAAAAAAAAGGAGCATTCTGCATCCTACTTAATTCATATTAGGACATGCATCCAACATCAATGTGCTGTGGTGCCCTACATTGGCATTAACTTTTCATGTGTCGATATATTATGACGATTTGATACTTTTTATTTTCATAAAATTTCCCAATTTGATCAAATTTTCCATAGGTACAAACATTCATGAAGATTCTGTGGTTGGTAGCTTATTATTTGGTTAATAATTACATCCCATTTGCATTTTCGGGAAATTTTACCCTGTCCAAAATTTTTGATTCAAATATAGGGGACGTGTTACGGTTAAAATGATAATAAACTGGCATTCTCACAAGCGTTCTCTCATGTGGATGTGCTTACTTGAATGCAAACACATATGCATATAAATATACATATATGTGTATATATACAAGCTGATGCACATGCACACACTTGTTACTCCCAAAGAAGAATCATATTGGTTCAACTAACGAATTCGCATTTTGTTCCCTTCACATGCAGCAACGAGTTTAAGAACAACTTTTCTCTCTATCACTTCAACATCATTTCAAGTATAATTTCGTAGCGAAGAAAAATAAAAATAAAATACTATTTATCGAAAGAGACATATTTCATGTTTGTCTTTTTTTCTTTTTTTTTGAAGGAATACCATTTAACTACTTAATAAGCAAACTTTCATTTTTCTGGATCCCTTACATTCTACTAACGAAAGATAACAGTAAGAGAGATCAATTATGAGTTCATTTTTGCTAACATTTAAAAAAAAAGTGGTAGTAGGGGGTGATATATATGTGTACCATTTGTATAGTTTCAATTCCATGTTGGGATTTTCTGCTTCCCCATTTCGACAATTTTTTTTTTTTTTTTTTTTTTATTTTAGAAAATCTCAAGTATGTGATAATGCTCCTGATTATTATTAATTTGATAGCCACATGTACCTACTTGGTAATTCGAGATAGGAGTGGAAAATATTTCCTACTCAATAAACTCCTTTTTTTTTTGCACCTTTTTCGTAAGACAATTTGCGGCACATTTTGTAGCACTTATTGTAGCATTTTTTACTTCCCTTACGCCCTCGTTTTATTTGCAGACCAATAATACCTTTCCTGGAATCCCACTCAACATGTTACTTTTATATTCCTTAAGTAAAATTGGAATTTAATTAATTTTATTTCCATTAGGATTAATTTCTTTCGCCATCTCTTTTTCCTTTTTGGTTTACTTTTACGTAAAAAAAAAAAAAAAAAAAAAAATGCAGTTCTTAAGCGCCAATCAAGCTGCTTAATTTTCCCACTTATGTTAAGCCTCGAATTAAAAACAGAAACAAGTATGTACACATAAGCACACGACAGATGGCAAATGTCAGATGCGCACAGGTTGTACTACAGAAATACATACGTAACAATGTACAATCATATTCCTACACGTATGTACACACATATATATACATGGGCAATAAATAAAACACACTAGAAAATGAATGCTGCATATTGCATCAGTTCATTTGCTTTTTTTAAAAAAAATAAAGTACAGCAAAATAAAGCAAAATAAACCACAATAAAATAGAATAAAGTAAAGCACAACAAAATAGAATAAAGTACAGCAAAATAAGTAAAACAAAATAACAATATAAACAAGCGTCAATACAGTTGTTAACCCAAGTCTACCTCTTTGATGAACTTATTGTATTCAAGGTCTAAATTAATATTTTTGTCACTTGTGCCGTTTTCCTTATCGACTGTGTTAATATTAGTTTCACATACGTCGTTCAGTTTGTTCTTTAGTCTTAAATTAATGGGAATGAAATACTGTTCCTTCGTACGTTCCTGTGACGGTGGGGTTTCTCCTTGTTGTTTCCTTTTCATATGCCCATTCTCTTCTTGTCCTTGTCCCTTTTTCTGGGACCATTGCCGCTTCTGTACCACTTCTCCGTGATCTTTTGTATGTGCATTATTTCTCTTTCTCCTGTGTTCATCACTATTTGGTTCTTTTACTGACAATCCATAGTTTGTATCTCCATTATAATAGCCCCCAACTTTTCCTATTCGAGTTCTCTTTGTTACAGGATTTGTCTCTTTGTCCTTCATACGATTGCCATACCTTTTTCCTGTATCTGTGTACTTTTTTGAATTTGCACCAAATCCATTTCTTCCCTTAAAATTGGTCGCACCATACATAGTGCTGTTATTATACACAGGAAGGAAATAATTTCCACCCGTCATATTTCCTGTATTAAAATTACCATACATATTCCCATAATTATAGTAGTAACCAGCAGAGCAGTTGAGCTCGTTAATAGTGTTAGGTCTGCTACAGTTTGGAGAGGCACTTGGGTTAAGGCTTGTATTTGTGTAATTCACCACATTCATTTGACCGTTAGAAATATGCATATTAGGCATGTCCCTCAAATAACTCGAAGTATCCTTGGGTGAAGGAATTTTTTCTGTACCGTCTTTTTCGTAAGGCACTTTGGAATCGACATCAATGTTGGTGATATTGCTACCATTATTATCCTTAGTGGAACTTTTTTTACTTTCATCATTATCAACATTACTACAAATGGTAGTCAAATCGTGGTCGACATTTTTATGAATGTTAATATCTTTCATTCCTACATTTGATATAACTGAATTTCCCTCATTTTGTAATTTCGATTCAGTGTCAAGGTTATCATGTATATGATAACTCGAATTCACACACATGGGATATGTTTTGTCTATACCACCATCAACATTGTCATTTCTTAAATTTTCGATCTTCACATTTTTATTTCCACAATTTTCTGGAACAACAACTTCTCTATTTCCTTGTGTGTTCATGTAATTTTTTCCATTTTCCACTTGTACATATGTGGATGTATAAGAAGAATTGCAAATATAGCTTGCCATATTGCAGTAACCATTATGATACCCATTATTGTTGTATGTATAATAAGTATTATTCACACTTGTCGTCTTATTAAGACATGGTATAACAGACTGATAGTTTACATAGCTATTAACATTAGCATTTGGAAAATAATAATTATATGGATATGAATACATATTCTGCATGAGAAATTCATCAGGTAATCCTTTGGGAAGAGAAGGTAAGGATTCTAAGAAAAAGTCCTCATCCTGCTGGTCACCCATTTCTGCACCATTTTCGTCATCGCTCTGTTTACTACTCTGATTATCCCTTTCTATGCTAACGTCATTGTCACTGTCATCTGATGATTCCTGGGAATTCACTTCATCATCTGAAGTAGCATAATCACTTTCATCACTTGGTGAAGCACCGACATCGATTTGTTCATTCAGGCCAGTTGGCTCATTCGGGCCAGTTTGTTCATTCGGGCCAGTTTGTTCATTCGGGCCAGTTGGATCATTCGGGCCAGTTTGCTCATTCAGACCAGTTTGCTCATTCAAGCTAAACATAACTCCATTGTTACTATAGAAGTAACTTTTGTCTTTCACCTTTTCTTTTATCAAATTCCACAAGGCTTCATACTGTTTTAATTTTTTTTTTTCCACAGGTAAGAGCTTTCCTTGCTGTTCTTTTGTTCTCAGAACATCTAATTTTTCTTTTACGACGTGTGGGTTTTTTGTGCTTACAATTTTTTCTAGTTGTTCGGCTCTCTCTTTTTTCTTTTTCTTTCTTTCTTTCCTTTTCTGCTGTTTTCTGTATGCATCCGTCGGAATTTTGCTCTTTTTAAGGATGTCTTTGGACATATGACTACGCTTCATCTTATCGAGTCTTCTAACATAATGATTTTACGGCAATATTTTTTGGCAGTATTTTACGGCAATATTTTTTGGCAGTATTTTACGGCAATATTTTACGGCAGTATTTTACGGCAATATTTTACGGCATTATTTTACGGCAATATTTTACGGCATTATTTTGTGGCAATATTTTACAGCATTATTTTGTGGCAATAATTTACGGCATTATTTTGCTTTTTTTTTTTTTCTCATTCTTTAAGCAGTTTCCCCTTAAAGTCTCCCCGTATCCTTTAAATGTAGTAAATTTGGCCACGATGTTGGGGAGTAAGACCCTATGAAGACAAAAAAGCGTATGCAATGTGGCACCCCAGCTTATGCCCTCTTGTCGTTTTGCAGATACTCGTAAAGCGGTAAAAATTGTAGTTTTTCAATATGCCCCATGGATTATGTAAGTATGCATACATATATATATATATATATATACATATATATATATATATATCTATAGGCGTATTTTCTCCCTCTTCCTCTTCGTCCAATATTTTGTAGTTCAAAAAAAAAGCTCAAATAAAATTGGCATTAATTGTTCTGTGACGCAGGTGAAATTTGCCTATTTTATTCTTAATGAGTTGAGGGGACGTTTAACAAAAAAAAAAAAAAAAAAATGGAAAGCAAAAATTGAAGGGGGAGAGATATAACTTCAAGTTGTGATCATGAATTAAAAAAAAAAAAATATATATATATGTAAAACAAAACGAAAAAATAAAATTTATCCCATATTTTGTTGAACACCTCCATGATTATAAACTTCACCAGTAGAGCAAATGCTTGCCAAGCAAATGGCTATTTTTTCCATTTGCTTCTATTGGTTTTGCTATACTTTTTTTTTCAAGTGAAGCATATATATATATATATATATATATATATATATATATATATATATATATATATATTATTATATATATATTTTTTCCTTCCTCCTGTTAATTTGCACATATTCATGCGTTCGTAATGCATAAGTGTAAAAGTCCTCCCACTTGGTATTACATGGTATTGCTTATGTGCATATATGATGTACACATAATATATACGAATATGTATAAACATGAACACATACATGCAAGAATGTATATATATATATATATACACCAATTCAGACGCCTATTCTTGTCTGGCATAGTGGGACATTTTCCAAGTGGAAAAAAAAAAAAAAAAAAAAAAAAAATGAGAAAGGGCAATATATGTCATCAAATCGTTCAACAACTATCCACCACCCCACGGCACTACTTTAAAATAGAGTTTCATACATATGTATATTACATGACTATGCAAACTATCATTTTGATTTATTAAATTTGCTATTGCTAATCATCTTTTTGATAAATAAAATTCTCTCTTTAATTTTAAGTAAAAAATGTATGTTTTAAAGTTGCTAACAATTTGTTCGTATATTATACATTTTTCCTATTCCCAATTTTCCTACGCTCATTTGTCAATTCCCATTCTCGATCTTTTTATTTCATCGTATTTTTTGTACAATAATTATACTCCTTAACAAAATGATATAAAAGGAGATATTTTCATAGAACTAAGGTTTTCCCCCTTTTTAACATTTTTATATGTAATTTTATTGCTAAGAAAATATGGTAATTTTGTTCTTACAACCCTTTAATGTGTATGTTTTTTTGAAATTATTTTATATATATGTGTGAATTTTTTTTTTTTTTTTTTGTTAATTCATGATTAATTGGTTTACCTTTCTTTTGCTTAAGTAAAATTATTGGCACGTATCCGCATGGGTGTTGGCCCAGGTATCGATACTGAAATCGATGTGTATGTTGTTTTATATATCCTCAAAATCATGTTTAAACACGTACCTGAGGAGGTATTAGGACGTTCATCTATGTTCATTATCACATAAACTTAGCAAATATATGCGTTACACATGCATAATAGGATTATCTATTGCATTTACAGTTGTATTAACACACACATACATACCCAAAGTTGCATCACAAGTAAGTGACAAAACCAATTGACTGATCACATTTTCAGCTTCTCACACAAATATGGTTTAATAGGAAAAATAATTTAGCAGCGTCCCCCTCCTCCCAGAAAAATCAAAAATACAGAGACATGTAATATATGTGTGTATATGTACATATAGAAAATGGATTTCATACACATGTCATAAATCAACGCTCCAAAGGGAAGAGGCATCAAAATGAAAAAATATATATATATATATATACGTTTATACATGCCACCTTTCCCCTTGTATCTCACAGATGACATAGAAAAAATTTAGGTAAACAAAAAATTCCATGTTAAAAGTTTTTTTTTTTTTTTTTTTATAATATAAGCGGAACAGAATAAATGGGAAAGCTAGAGACATGCATCAATAATGATGAGAAAAAATGGAAGAAAAAGGACACATTAATTTTGAATATTTTTCATAATGCAAAAAATTTATTTCCAAAAAATAATCTTCAGTACACATATATAAATACATTTTTGTTATGTCTGTATTTTACATTTTTACATAAATACCTGGATCAGACCCTACCATCCTTATACAAGTCTATTGAAAATGATTTTAACATCAATGTAAAAACTTTGTATTATATGAACACCATATACAAGTTGGCATATTCTGGTTTCAACTTCTTTTTTGCCTTATTTTTTGATTATACATTTAAGAAAATCATTTTGGAAAAATATGAGAAAGTGGATAAGAGAGTGAGAAGTGCAAACTGTAATAGGGACAATAAAAGGGATAACATCGATAATAAAAATTGTGATAAAAGGAACCAGAGAAACAATCAGAATAGAAACAGCAGTGGAAATGACACTCATTACAAAATACTCTTCAAGGGGGAATCGGAGCATCAGGAAAAGGGATCCAAGCAGATGGATCAAAATTGTACACGAGAGAGTATGGAAAAGTCAGAGGTGTCAAACAGCAGGACAAATAACAGCTATGCAAAGACAGTGGAAGATGAAAAAACATGGAATAATAAAATAGAAGAAGAAAATTCTACATATACTAATGATGAAGTGATTTGGGGCGAGTACAGATACACTTTGAAAATATTAGTTGTTTCATCCATCATATATGTAGTAGTTATATTTGGAATCATGGCATCGAATAATTTTATTAATTTTTTTTTTTTTATGTTTATAATGGGAATTAACAATTCATGCATATACATCCTGATACAAAAAATATATACCAATAAAGTATTTAGTGATAACAGAAGTACAATTTTTGGCTTCCTACATTTTTTCTCATCAATTTCGCATATGTTATCTATATCTATAAACACAAATTTGAGTAATAAAATTTATTTTGGGATTAATGGTTGGAGAATTTGTTATTTTGTAATTTCTTTTTTTCCAATTATTGTTTCTATATTTTTATTGAAATTAATCAAGCATAGTAAATTCAAAGAAAATGGGAATAAAAAAAGTAACCTTAGTTACTTAGTATCTTTTGACAATGTGACTGAAACATCCAACGAGAGTGACAAGGAAAATTATTGTAAAAGAGAAAGTTATAAATTAACAAAATTCAGCATTTCAGGTAGGGGAAAAAAAAAAAAAAAAGAGGAGGAAATTTTGTTTTTTAACTCTGAGAATAATAATTATTCTCAAAATGAGAGTTATAATGAACCTAATGAAAAGGCGGATCATCTACCCTTTGAAATGAAGAAGAGTTGTGACAGAAATAATATTTTAAACAGAGAACTTGGAAATGCATCTAAAATGAGAGATAAAAATTCATATTTAAGTAATACGGGTATATCAGGATTAGGGAAAGAAACAAGCATAAATGATGATTTTAACATCTCATGTATAATCTCGAATGATGATAGGATAAACAGCAACCTTGTTAAGAGATCTTTCAAGCACAGTACTTCGAAAAAGACCAATTCTGAGCAAGGAGAAGATGCAAATTTAAGTACCACCATGAGTAACAGTGAAATGAGTAAAGAGAATTATGACAATCATGAAAATTGTGTCAATGGGGTTAACAATCACAAAGACTTGTTGAATAATTCACTGAATGATAGAACGTACCAAAGCTGGGGGGAGGTAAGAAACTCCACTTCTATTTTTTCAAAACGTAAAGATGAAAAGGAAAAACAGGAAGAGCAGGATGAACTGGTTAATTTGTTGGAGGGAGATGAAAAAGAAAAAGAAAAAAAATTAAAATATGAATTTTCATACTTGTACGAAATAAAATATGTTTTTAAAAATTATAGCTTTTGGTTAATGATAACAATGGGCATGTTGAATGGGATACCCAAACATGTTCTGAGCTTAATGATATATTTTTTTCAGTACTGCAACATTTCTGATTTTAAAAGTGGCCTCATCATGTCATTAAGTTGGTTATGTGCAAGTTTGATATCACCCTTTATTGGAATTATAAGTGATTATATTTATAAATTAAACAAAGACATAAATCGCCAACTGATAGGTATGTGTACTCATTGTTTAAGAATAATATTAATGTTCATAATGTTTTTTTTTATACCCAAGGAAGCTGAATCTTTTATCTATTTTGTAATAATTTCCCTATTTATGGGAGTATTAAGCGGTTGGATAAATATAGGTACACACAAACCAATCATAATTGATATAGTAAAACAGAAACACACAGCTTTTGTCATGGCTTTAATGAGTGCATTCGAGAACATTGGGTCTTCAATAATTGGCACGTTTTTTCTTTCATTCTTGTTAAATCGATATAATTATATCGATAAAAGGAAGATGAGTAACATTGACCTGAATATTAACAAGCATAATGTTAAAGTTTTATCAGACGTTTTATTAATCCTGACTTGTTTACCTTGGCTAATATCCCTATGTCTTTTATATGTGCTTAAATTTACCTATAAAAAGGATAAATTATATAATAATATGTTTTAACTTTGGACAAGGCATATTATATATATATATTTTTTTCCAGCTAGCTAAACATGATACAAAAAAAAAAATATATATATATATATTATGAACAGACAGCAAAAAAAAAAAAAAAAAGCATAGCATTTGTTGCCAATTATTCTGCTGTATGTGTCCACTCAATTTGCTACTCCATTTTGGTCTCCACCTTTCAACTATCCATTTAGCTTAATTTTATGTGTAAATTTTTGCTTTACCCTTTTTAATTTTTTTTTTTTTTTTTGTCAATTTGTTTACTTCTGCCTGATGTGCTTTTCCCCCGTTCGCGTGATTTCAGTTGTCAGAAAAAGCACATCAACGGGTGTGTAGTCCATCAATGCATGTGCACGTGACCGTGTGCAGAATGCTCGTACACATATTATACATATATATATATATATATATCAACCCATATACAGTTCTGAGCATTGAGACTTTACCCCACATTTTTACAAACCTACATTCTCAACGTCCGTATATTCTCTCCTCCAAATTGAATTTGGATTTACCAGTTTGGTTATGTAAATATGTCCATTATATGTTTATGTTTTTTTGTCAAGCTTTTTTTTTTTTTTCTTATTTATCAAGAAAAACTTATAAATTTTATTTCGTTAAAAAATGTACAATTAAAAGGAAGAAAAAAAGGTGGGGGAAATGGGAAAGACGATGGTGAGGAGGAAAAAATTGATAATAATGCATATATATATTAACAAAATAAAACAAATAGAACAATTTTCTTTAATTTATAATCTTTGCATATTGGCAAAAAAATACTATATATATATATATATATATATATATACACTTTAAACACAAACGTTGGTGCGCCCAATGGGTTGTGAGCCACGGGAATTCCTATATCTAGCTCTTTCTGCTTTTCTCATTCCTCTTTTTTTTTTTTTTTTTTTTTTTTTTCCCTTCTAATTTGTTAACACTTGAAAGATATTATGAATTGTCCACAAGGACAAAGGTTAGTATGTTGTAAAAGGTATATAATATATGTATTTTGCGTGAATTCATCAAAAGACTTCGCACAGGCAGTGCCAAAAAGGGTGGTGTGTATTTGGGCATCACTTGTGTTTATTGTTATAATTATTATTGGTCTCCTTTTTCTTTTTCTTTTCCGTTTTTATTTTCGTTTAATCAAGAGTGAATTAATTTTCTTGTAACACTTCTTCACTATTTTTTCCCTTGTTTTTTTTCTTTTTTGATGTTAACGAGGTGGAAAGAATGGCCTTCAAGGCCTCATCCTGAATTTCATTAGTGGTTTTACAGTTATTCAATTGGGAACACTTGATACCTGTAAATTGTTTAATTCCATCTTCTTTGACCATAACAGTGTATTTAAATTGAGAAACAAATTCTTTTTTTTTTTCTGTGTAAACAGTGTATGGTTTAATTAAATCATGTCTTAGAGCTTCGGGGATTCCAATAAGTGCTGCTCGTTGGTCTTCTACATGTTTTACGTGAAATGGGAGTACAGGAAATTTTTTATTAACTTCACTTATAAAAGATCTTCCCAAATTCGTTTTTAAATGATAATTTTTTTGAACTTCTCTTTTATAAATGGTAGTTTTATGATCACTTTCTTTGATTTTTCCATCTCCAGTTGTAACCATAACATCAATAATGTAAATATCATCAGGTTCAATTTGAAAATCATCAATTTTATTTTCAGGATTTTCTTTTAATAAAATAAATTTACTTCCTTCTAAAATATATTTTTTAATTTGATAGGTTACACAGTTAGAAATTACATTACATTTTAATTCTTCACATGCTTTCTGAATATTTTTTGTTACATCACTGGCATTTATCCCAACTTTTAAACTCTTTAAAAATAATTGGGATAATATATGCGAATTTTTTAAAACTTCCGCTTTAGGACCTTCTATAATTTCATTTTCATTACTAATATAGACCGTGTGACCAACCATACTGATATGTCCATCTATATGACATCCTAAGCATATTTTAACAATATCACCCTTTTTAATTATTTCATCATTCTCAGAGGACGCAGGAGCATAGTTGTTGCACACTTCATTAACGTTGATGGTTACAGGGAAACTTATTCCCTTTTCCACTTTATTTCCTTTCTCTTTTTTTGTGTATACTTTATCTAGTTCTTCTTTCATAACCTTCTCTCCAAAATCGCATAGTTCGCATATTTTTGCACCTAAAAAATACAAATAAAAAAAAAAAAAAATAAATAAATAAATAAAGCAGTTATCGCTAGGATGCAAATAAAACATAGTACATTTCAAAATTAAATGGCAATAATTATATAACCGCCTATACAAGTTCTGCATATAAGTATTTAATTTGTTATAAAGGAACACAGATAAATCCATGCTATGCAATTGTGAAGGGTTGAAATTAAAATGGGTGCCATACAAAGTGCATATGAAAAACGATACAAAAATGAGGAAACAATAAGAAAATGTGTGCAATAGAGAGCAAAAAAAAATTAAAACAAATCCATTTTTTCTCACCATCTACACACTTTTCTATAACTTTCTTTAAAGTTGCATTAGCTATAGAACCAGAATGGGTGTACTTCTCTAAATCGATTTCTTCAGTCTTAGGATCAGGTGTTTGCTCCATGTTTTTTTTTTGATATAAATTATTTTTACGTGTAGAAAAGGATGTGTATGTATGTGTGTGTGTGTGTGCAGACGTGTGGGGGGAAAATGTGGATTCATGCACAACCGTTCAATAAGATTTCAAAATGAGCTTATCAAGATGTTGTAATGTATACTACAGAAACACGATTTGCGCGATGCGTGTGAATGTTCCTGTAGATGCACAAAAAAAAAAAAAAAAAAAAAAAAAAAAAGGTCAATTTGGTCTGTACATTCAAATGTGCTCTCAAACCACGTACGCATGTACGTATGCATAAATAAATGTATATGTATATGTAAACTATGATTGTGACCCGACAGATAAACTCCCAAAAAAGTGGGTAGGACCATTTAAGCGTTATAAACTTATATGCTATGCAGAATGGAATCGAAGAATTGAATGCGTAGAGAAGTGGTAGGGTATGAAAAACGCTTAAATGATAGATACATAAGTTGGTAATAATAAATACAAAAGTAATATATTTTCTAAATTTACATATATTCGAAAATGTTGACTTTAACCACTTGCAACGATGTGAAAAAAAAAAAAAAAAAAAAAAAAAAAAAAAAATTTGAAGGGCTTGTGCTCATATTTTTATGTAGCATACATTTTTAATACTTTTTTTTTTTTTTTTCTTTGAAATGTTTATACACTTGATACATTTTTGCCAATTTTTTTTTTTTTTTTAATTTTACTTTTTCTCTTATTTGTATAGTGGTTTCAAAGGAGTAATGTAATAGAGTAAATAATATATATTTTTACAAGGGTTTAAAAAATTTGAGCGCGTTTTTATATTTTTTTTTAATGCACTTTCTTCCTGCTTTGGCTTTTTTACCCCCTTGTAAATTTTTGTTTAAATCCTATTCCTCATTCATCTTTACCGTTCCCTTTTTTTTATGCCCCCTGTTCCTTTCTACTAATTTTACTTTATTTTTTTCTCTATCACGGTATTTTTTTTTTTTTTTTTTCCCCCTATACACAAAATGCAATAACGGAAAGGCGTTCCTATATGATATAAATATTGTAGAGGCATATATATGTCACCACATATGAATATACACATAATATTATGTAAAACTAATTTTGTGTATATATTTTAAACCAGTTTTTGCATGTACTTTTTTTTTTTTTTTTTTCTTTTGTCAACCCAATCTACATTCCCTGCTAAGCTATATTTTTAACATGTGCTACTAACACCTCGGCACTTTTTTATTTTTTTCCAGTTTTAACTTCTTCTCAATTTTTTTTTTTTTTTATTCCTTTTATTATTTTATTCCCTCTTTATGAACGATAATGTGCCGCTCACCACTTGCATGTAATTTTATACATGCATGTAAACATCACAAAAGTACACTAGGGTTGGGAATACCTCTTGTAGTTGCATTAATGGGTACATACACTCCTAACATGTGTGTATACTTATTTTATTTTGTGAAAATAAGGATATTAGTGTACATTGTCCCAATAAATTTTGTTCACTAATTTTTTTTAAGTGTATACGAAGTAATTTGCAAAAGCAGAAGCAAAAGGAAAACAAGTTGGCACATAAAATACAACCCTTAGGGAATAGAAAAACAAAAAATAAAAAAACACATGGGTTTAATATTACTACATTTGGGGGGTTATTCACTTTATAAATACCTTTCGGTACGCATATTTATATATGTGTCCTGAAATATGAACCTGTGTCCGTGTATCATTAAAAAAAAAAAAAAAAAACGTGCACATAAACGGACAAATGTTACATGTGTTATGACAAACATAACCATTGACGCATGTTCATGCTAACAAATTGTTACTACGATTGCTACTACCAGTTTAATTGTAATATATATATATATATATATTTTTTTTTTTTTTGTGTGTAAATCTTCAATTAAAAAAAAAATAATAAGTGCAATTTGGAGGTGAAAGGAAAATTTATTGCTATCTACATCAATTTTGAAAAAAAAAAAAAAAAAAGGAATTCCGAAGAAATTCATAAAAAATTGAAAATTCAGTTATTTCTCCAAAGCGGGAAAATTGTGTAAAAAAAAAAAAAAAAAAAAAAAAAAAAAAAAAAAAAAAAAAAAAAAAAAAACATAAAATGATGAGTATATCAAAAAAATGATACATGGTTTGGGGCTAGAGTGAATTCATTAAATACGTTCCTTACATGTTTTACAATTTTGTAAAATTCTTTATTATTATTTTATTTTTTTTTTTTTTCTTTTATATATACCTAGCCACAAAAGGGGAAAAATTAATAAAAGTGAAATAGCTAGTATTTGATATCTCCAATGATTTCTGATTCTCAAGTATTCCATCTTGCACACTTTTGTCCTGGGAAAGATGATGGATGAGTGGGGGAAATTGTACATAAAATATATGATTTGGAGTTTGAACTATTTGGGTGATGAAGACAGGATGGGTGTGTCTGTGTGTGTAAATAAATACTCTAAATATTGCAAACTGCTACAATTTATTTTATTTTATTTTTTATTACAAAAACAAATTCCTTTGGGCCATTTGGTTCCCAAATTTTGATGTACTTATCAATTCCACTTGTTGCCAAATGGGACCCTTCTGGGTGAACCTAATAAACAAGAAATAAAAGGAAGGAAAAGAAAGGAATAATAGTGGTGATCATACATGTGTGCACACAATGAATAAAAATAAAAAACGAATAGGAAATGGAATAAGGATAAGGTCACGGATAAGGCCAAGGCTAAGGATACAGGTAAAAATAAAGAAAAAAAAGTGTGGTAAATATATGCACATGCAAATAAACAAAAAAGGCACGTTTTCAGAATTTTCTTTAAATTTTTGGAAACTTTAAAAATCCCTTACTTGTACGCAATTTACATGATTCTCGTGACCCTTTAAGACATTAAGTAATTTACCTTAAGGAAAAGAAAATTTTAAATGTAGGTAATCAAATAAAGGCAAGATATAACACAAACTTACACCGCATGTTATCGTATGAATGTGTACAGGTGAAAAAAAAATGTCTACTTAAAGTTTTTTGTTCTATAGGAATAGAACAAAACTTACCATCCCGTATTCTCCACATGTAAATGCAACAATTGTCACTTGCCGATAAAATAATATTGTCATTCCAGAAGGCTACTTCTTTTATGTCTGTTCCATTGTTGCAGTGTCCTATGAATCTACCAAGAGTGTGTAAAAAAGTGTGAAAAAATGGATGTGTTTACCTTTACACGTGCGTGTTCTGTATATGTAAGAGGACGTAACTATGCTTTGTTTGTGGTCTATGCGATTGTATGTGCAGAGACACACACACACACACACACATTTGCTGCGAGGATAAATATTATCACTACTTTTACTGAACGTTAAAAACTTTTCCTACCTTTTACAATTTCCCTGGGGAACCCACATAGGATCCTGAATTTGTTCTACATAATTATGAGTTTTCATTTTTTTCTTCTTTTCAAAAACGTAAATATTTTGACATGTATTCCTGTTACTGTAATCAACCTGGTTGTACAGATTGTCATAGAACTGGTTTTCATAACTCGACGAAGAATTATCTGTCGAAAATGATGAGTAGCTATAATCAGAAGAATCGTCCTTATGGTCTAAAAGTGCGTGACTCTTAAGCAAATTAATTTTCTCTTTATGCAAAAAATCTTTCTGATAAAATGAATATATATCCATTTCATCAGTGTCATCTAATTCCGATGTGCTTATTTCATTAACTAAATTATTAGAACCGTAGATCAGATATTCTGATTTTTTCTTTTTCTTTTTTTCATTAAAATATTTATTTGATTTTCTTCTTATGAAATCTCGCACCAACCCACTATGTTGTCCCATCTTACTCTTTAAATTATTTCTTATAAAATTCTCGTACTCATGTTCAGAACTTGTGCAGCTCGCGGATGATGACGATTTATTGTAACTATTCTTCACTTTAATTTTTTTTATTTCTTTCCTCCCATCGGTCCTTTTCGGCGAATGTACGTTGTGCGAACTTTTCCACTTTTGCGCCCCTTTTAACTTTCCTCCTTTTTTGGGATTTTCAAAACTTTGCGGATTCTTTTTTTCCTTCTCCCTCCTCATCTCTGCAAAGCCACTACTGCCACTACTGCCACTACTGCCACTACTGCCACTACTACCACTACTACCACTTCTACCACTACTACCATTACTACCTCTACTACCACTACTACCGCTAGTATCACCCACATGGGCAGGCTTCCTTTTTCTAGTCACCATTTTCCCCCTCATCGGATCAGCCCATTCTAAGTTATTCATTATCCTGCTCCTAGATTCATCCCATTTGCTGAAATAAATATCTCCCTGATTTTTGTTCTCATCAGAGCTGTGCATATAATTTTCCTTCGATTTTTTCATTCTTTTATGCGAATAAAAATGTTTGTCCCTACTTCCTCGACTCAACGTCTTCTCTTTCTTTGGCTTATTCCACTTGTCATCTTCATTGTCATCTTCATTGTCACCTTTGTTGCCACCTTTCCTGTCATCTTCATTGTCACCTCCGTCTGCCACTTCTACATCTCCCTCGCATTCATTCTCCTCTGAAGATTCCCTCTTTGAAAAATACTTCTCATCTATAATGTTTGTACGATCCTTATGGACGATTACCTCTCTTTCTGGATTACCATTGAATCGTTCTTGTGACGAATCCTTTGGTCTCCCATCAGGTTCGACGTTTGCTTGTCCGTTTTTATCTTCATTTGGCCTTTCCATCCAAACAGTATTTCCTTCGACATGGTTACCGCTCCTATCGGCACTACCATTGCCACTCGCGCTACACTCGGTATTGTCATTTCTAGATGTGGGATCGCTCGAAAGGGGAACAATGTTCATATCATTTGGGGGATTGTTCATAACCTCCCTGTTTTGAATAACATTATTACTATCTACTGTAAAGTAGCTGAAATTAAAATCCGTTAAGAACTCACGAGGAATGGACGATTCCATTGTGTAATTAACAGGATTCTCATTTCTTGTAACAC